TTTTAATAAAAGTAAACACATTAATGAACAATACACCAGGTAGGTTTCTATGAAAGAGACATGGTACGTTAGGCACACTTAAATATCAAGTCTTTCACAGAACAAACCTAGACATGCACTTTGATAATGCTTTCTCCATAAGTCATTTAAGAATTTTATCTTTCTTTAATTAAGGCCTCTTAAAGAATTATGTTTCATACCTTTACTCACTATATTATCTTATTAAGCATACATATTTTTTGGGCTCACTACTGATTTAGCCTTAGTTATCTTTCATTATCTTAGTCTTTACTAGTGGTTTTATCTCATTTCATAATATATATATATATTCATTTTAAAGAATGACTTAAAGGTTAATTTATACTAATTCATGTATTTATAAGACATGAATTAATATGCAAGAAGCCTAAATAATCTGACCTCGCAGGTAGAATCATAATTCTCAAATAGACTTGTTTATTCTCACCGTGCATGCAACTTCAATCTTTGCATCATCATCTTTAACCAAAATGACCCAAAAACCTATCATGACAATCACTTCATATGAACTTGTTGGGACCATCGGCACACCCCATGGCGCAGCGGAAACAAAACTCGACGGTCTCACCAGCGATCCAAGTACGAAAAACTGAAATCGGGAGAAAGGGATGCGAATACTTACAGCGGGTTCCTTGAAAAATAGTAAGGACAACAATGAATACTGGTGGTGTAGATCGGTTCGAATCGTAAGCCTCCACGAAATCACGTCTCGACCTCTACTCAGTTCACCCGATTGAGAGCAATAATTTTCTTCCCCAAAACCATTTTGAGAGAAAAACGGCTGAAGGTTTTGCGTGTGTTCTCTAAAACGGCTGTTAGACCTAACACGCCCTTTTATAGCCAAGTCACCCTATTCATATTAGGGTTTTTATTATTTCAAATTAATTAAATCTATATTAGAATTTAATTAATTAATTAATTAATTAATCCTTTTATATCCAAGTTACCCTAATCATATTAGGGATTTTATTATTTCAAATAAATTAAATCTATATTTAATTAATTGGAATTTAATAATCCTTTTATATCCAAGTTCCCCTAATCATATTAGGGATTTTATTATTTCAAATTAATTAAATCTATATTTAATTAATTGAAATTAAATATTCAGGATTATTAAAACATATATTTAATTAACTCTAGATATATTTTAGTAACGTACAACAAATTGTACATCTTTGCTCGTTTCAATCCTAGGGTGTGACCCTGTAGGTTCTTGTAACGTTAGCAGTAATTATTAGAACAATTCTAATATTACATACAATGAGTGACATCTAGCAATATATCATTGTCACCTAAGTTACAAGAAAATATGATTTGACATATCATCTTGGTGATTAACTTTTTTATGTATTACATCCTTATGCCCTATATATCTAGAATAGGCACAAGTCTTGGAATAGTCACACTTGTATAGCCCATCTATTGTTTCTTGATATCTAGAGTAGACTTTAATTAACGAATAGTTTATGATATCTCATATCAACTTATTCGAGCATGGCCATGCGTTTCTAGTCTTACTCAATCAAGTGGCCTGTGATATATTTCCTATTATGTAGGAAGGACAAATCCTATCTTAATCATACACACCCACTACATATATTGAGATATATTCAATAACAGTCTTTATAGTGCAACCAGTTACGGAGCTTGTTTAGTTGCATCAAAACATACAACAATATATGTTGGGATAGTATTGATCTCAAGTCTGAGGATCATACATATAGTCATCACCATGAGCAATGTTATGACTGCCACATAATAATCCAAGACATATGCTAATGGTAACTCAATCCAATACATTATTCTCTAACAATATAATCATGTATCAATTTTGACATCTCTATGTCAATGACAACTCGTTGTCATCAATCAATAACATGTTAGTCTTAAGCGTATTATTATTGTCCATGCCCATAATAATACTTGACTAGGGATCTTTTAACAATAACAATTATGTCATTATATGGACTATATTATCTTCCAGTTTATGTTAAATACATATATATAACTGAAAATAATAGCGGCAATGTCTTTATTCAATAAAATCGATAAATAAAAGTATTATTACAATCATAATATGATTGGTCTTTGGGCATACTCTAACAGAACCAACATCTCTTTTGAATCTTCTAAATTCAAATGAAGATTATACATGATTTGATTAGTCATGAATAATTTACTGACAATAATAAAACTTAAAATAATTTAGTAATAGTAACAAGATCCTTATCTTTAGGATTTTGGTTCCTTATCTTTAATATATTGTGGAAATCAAACCTGGAATTTAAAAACTATTTGATTTGGAGAATTTTCCATATACTGTCATTAGCTTCATACTTCTCCAAAATTACAATCACTCTGTTGTCTTTATAAATTTCTTAAAATAAATTTTTAGTACAACAAACCACAATAATTTTGAACTTAGATTCTTAGAAATAAATAATATCACCCCACGTGAGAATAAATGGTTGCCCATCTCCACATATCATATCAATTATTATGTATGCATATGCATTATCTTTCGTACTAAAATGCCAATTAATGTTCATAGCATTATAATTATGTTACATCTTGATCATAACATGTAAATTTTAAATTTTAACATTTAATAAACACTAACATTTATATAGTTATTAACAAATATTTATATATAACTATTTAATAAATCGTTCAACCTACTATTGAAACTTAAAACCATTTAAGCATAATGGTTTAATTAACATATATTCATAAAATTAAATATCATGAAACTGTCAATATTAAACACTTAAAAGTAAATTTCATGTAAATTTTAATGCATTTAAATTGAATTAATCATTCACAACCTTAATGTATGTTTAAATGCTTTTATGCATTATTCTAATACATATCATTAAAACATTTAACATTATAATACAACATGAAACACTTTAACCCAGTTTGTAACATTTATAAATCTATAAATGTTTCATTCTGTCCCTTTTAAACTTGTTTCAATAGCTTTAACTAGATATTAAAATCTATAATTCCATTTCCAAACTGCAATTTAAAACATACACGATCAAATATGATGAGCAGAAATGAAACATTTAATTATCATAATTCAATACCTAATAACAATCTTTTCTATAAATCAAATGTACAAATATAATTTCTAAAAAGATTATTCATATAAATAATTATATTTTCCGTGAACCAAATGCCCCCTACGTAATAATCGTTTACATTGTTATGTTTTAAAAGCAATTCCATTGGTCTAACGTTTAAGCTTTAAAGAACATAATATCATAACATTCAAATAAAATTAGAAAACGTATATTTAATTTTAAAGGATATAAATATTATTACCCTTAATAATAGCGCCTTTTGTGGTTTATGAACTTTTCCAGTCTACCAATGAGAACCCTCATTTGCTACTAATCATCTTGAAGTCCACCTTTGGCTCACAAAATTTTCATCAGCATACATTACCTCAAAGCAAGATTCAAATAGCAGTCGAAGTCACGTTTTCGGAGGGTACCGCTACCGTTATATCGCGGGTATAGCAGGTGCTATTGCGGGTGTCGCAATCAAATAATAGTATTTTCGGAAGACACCGCTACCGCTATATCGCGGGCTCTATTACAATCGCGGACCGCTGTTTAAATTCTTGCCTCAGAGTGATATACATTTGACTAGGTATAAGTTAGAATAAGGATGGGTACAGGACAAAATAGGTTGATTTTTTGGCCGCTTGAACCCAACTCGAAAATATATTATTTATATTCAATTTGATCCTATCTCGTCTCAATAATTTTTCCCGTCTCGATTTTTAGACTAAAATTCCAATCCCAATCCGATCGAAATATATTAATATTTTAAAATAGTTAAAATAAATATATTTTATAATAATACATTTATAATCCTTTATTATATTTTAAATAATTAAAATAATATATTTTATAATATTTTATTATATTTTTAACAATTAAAGAACATATTTTAACACTATAAAAAATCCTATAATTTTAAATATTATATATATATATAAGGGAAAAATAATAATTTATATCGGGTTAGATCAAATCAGTAATTTTTCATTTTAAACCCAACACCATTTGGGCCGAAACTATTTTTATATAACCTGTCATTTCTCACCTCGAACTCAATTTTTTAAAAAAGAAACCGCCTTATAAGATCGGGTCGGTCGTCTCGAGTTTGGATATTTTTACTTTTACTGGGTGAGAAATTTGAATAAGTCGCGTTGGTTAATCGTCATCATAAAATCAATTCTAAACACCATCAATATCCTCTATCAAGTCCGACGACATAGCTATGTACTTTACAAACCTTCGAATGGATTTGTAAATCTGATCCATACATTAAAGTCCAGTTAAAAATAAGACACCGCACTTTAAAGTAAATATAGTAGACGTAGAAAAAAAATTTCTTTTCGTGTAAATTTCGAATAATCTGTATACTTTTGTAATAACCATTCTTTACCTGACCTTGTTGTTATTATTTAAATAATATTATTACTTAATACAGTACTATTAATAATATTATATTAATATTAATATTATACTATTATTGTTACCACATTAAGTATTATTATTATTAAGTACTATTATTATTATTATCCCATTATTATATTATGCTATTACTATTATCACTATTAACGTGTATTATTTCCTATTATTATTATTATTATTATTAACATTGTATTATTATATTATATTATTATTACTATTATTATTATTATCTTTTTTTTTTTGTTAAAGCCACTATTATTACTTACTATTATTCTTATTATTTGCTACTATTATTATTAACGTTATATTAATATTATTATATTATTAATATTATTATATTATTAATATTATTATTGTTAGTTATTATTATTTATTATTACAACTATTACTTATTTCAAATAAGCCCATATATATATTAAAGGCCCAAACTGCATATTTTGAAAAAACCCAAAAATATTACAATTATCCTTTTTTGGAGCAGTCCATGTATGGCCCAGATGATGGAACCCATAGTGTTTTCTACTTTTCCCCAGCCGTCATGTGCTATTAGCCATCAGATCTGGACCCATTCAACGGTACAGATCAAAGAAAATTAGGGTTTCATCCTAAAGCCACTCCTTCCTCCAGCCGCGCCGATCGTCGAGCCGATATCAAATGAGCCGAGACAGATCGCAAGAAATCTAGGGTCATTTAATACGACCCATGCGCGACCAATCAGCCCCTCTCTGTTCGCTTCGTCGGAGTCAACCGTGGAAAAGCAAGCAAGAAAATAAAAAGCAGGACATCAGAAAAGTAAAAAAAACAAGAGCTTTTTTTCAGTTTTCTTTTGATAATCTAGAGACTCTATAAGAGCCCTCTGGAAAAACATGTAAAAGAAGACTTTCCAGATCCCCATATCAAAGAAATACAAGCAAAACACTTAAGGTACCTTGCTTTTTCTCGATTTATGTGAAAAAATGAGAGTTTTATTGGTGTTTACCTCGTTATCTCCGAGTATAGCTTAAGATCCCTCCGATTTACTTTTGTGGCCGTGCGAAATAGGTTCCGGTTGAAGGGGAAAAAAACTTAGCCTTTTAAGGTTATTGTTTGAAATTTTAAAAGAAAAAGGGTTTTTTTGAGTGAGTTGGGGTCTCGATCTTAGGAGGAAGAGTAGGAAAAGTTAAGTTTTATTTCTTTTTTGGAGGGTCTAGGCTAGTTCGACCACCGCTGTTGGTGGCTGGAATGAAAGAATCTTGGCCGATATATGGCCATCAAAGAGAGGGGTTTTGGTTTTGGAAGAGTCGGCCAGGAGACGGGAGAGCGTGAAAGCTAAAAAGAATATAGGCAAAAAAATAAGAGACCAGGTTGTCAAATGACGTAAATGGCAAATCTTAGCCTAAATAGCATTTTTGGGTTAATTACACTTAAGTCACCTTACTTTAAGCGTGAATTTGTATTATTGTAACCATCACTTTTTTGGTTTATTTGCATTACTAACCCTCTGACTATATTAATTATTATTCTAACCCACTGACATATTTGGGTCCTAACATTTTATCTTCTTGCATTTCTATTCTTTTGTTTCTTTAATTTAAGTGCTTTAATTTTTTTTATTTACATTTCAGTCCCCATTAATTTAATGCAATATAATTCTTCATTATTTAAATTTCATTCCTTTTAAATTAACGTAATTTACATTTTAATACCCTCACTTATTGCTTATTTAATTTCAGCACTCTATTTTTCAGCATTAATTTTCTGCTTTTGATTTTTTTTTTCTTTCATTTTGGCCCACTATGACATATATATATATATATATATATATATATGTAAACGCATGCACTGTACCTAGGGATGGCAACGGGCCGGGTATTGGTCCCCCATCCCTGTCCCTGTTTAAAAAATTCGTACCCGTCTCCGCTTAAAAAACTGCGGGGATTTAAACGGGGATCCCCATCGGGTAATCGGGGAAAACCGCGGGGAAATGGGTATCCCCGTTTAGCATAAACGGTTATTTAAACGGGTATCGGGTATCGGGTTTGGTATATATATTTAAATTAAATATATAAATATTATATATATTTTTTTAATTTAAATTAAATTTATTAATATTATATATATATATATATATATATATATATATATATATATGTAATAATTATTTGTAATATTTATCGGGTCAGGTATCGGGCCGGGTAATCGGGGCGGGAATTACTAAATCCGTCCCCGTCCCCGTTTAACATAAACGGGTTTTCCCCGTCCCCGTTTAACATAAACGGTTTTCCCCGTCCCCGTTTAACATAAACGGTTTTCGATTTTTCCCGTCGGGTTCGGGTTTTTTTTTGCCATCCCTAACTGTACCATACATATATATAGTTTTTATCATAAATGAGCATACTTATTAATACCTCATTTATATCATTTTATACTATATATTATATAAACATTTTTGTTAAGAATTTTATATTTGGACATTGTTCTCTTATCTAATATTATATCTTATACATATGCCTGTTACCTTTTATTTTAATATTTTGACTTTCTTACCATGGATTTTATTTTATTTTTACATATTCGTTAGTAAATTTGTATAGTATAAGATACTTTACATACATAAATAAACTATAATATATTTACACTATTTATTAAGGTAATATTATTTTGTATGAGTAATCTATGGAGACACGCATTAACTGATAAGGAGTGTGTTTTCGAGAATTATTCGTACAAAATGATACTTTTTTCATATTCTAGTTTTTTTCTTCTTCTTCTTTTCCCGAACATATACAATATATATAATTTATTAAGAAAATGAAGGCAATGATCTTTTGTAAGGGGAATCTATAAAAACACGTATTAACTAACAAGAAGTGTGTTTTTTAGGATTGTTCATACAAAAGAATATCCTTTTAAGCATTTCCAAAAATGATCATAATTTAAATACATACTTGAATATGCAATTTTCATTATTTAGATGACGTATAATCGCTTAGGTATCAATTTTGGGCATTGTGGGGTGCTCATCCTTCCCCACGCGTAATCGACTCTGAACCCTTTTCAAAATGAGTTTCTGGTTAAACACATACTGTTTTTTATCTTTTAAATTTATTTTTCTTGAAATTCTTTTAAAAGATAATTTCAGGTGTTTGACCTACCTAACACAAAGGTTGATGGTGACTCAAAATTTATTTTTTTCTAAACCTGATCTTTCCCAAAATTAAGTTGGATCGCTCCCCACCTAAATAAAAGCTTAAGGATCGTTTCGAAAGTTTGGCGACTCCACTGGGAAAATTAGAAAGTTAGGTTGTAATCGATTATACATCATCTTTATAGTTGAAAATTTTAAATTTGAATGATATTTAGATTATGATCCTTTTATTTTTGTTTTGCATTTCATCATATCATGTATCTTTTTATGGTTGTACTAATGTGTGATTTTCCCTTGTTTTAGATTTCTGACTATTTCTTTTAAGTTTGTTTGTTTTTGGATCTAGGCAAAGGATTGTGAGTTTCCCCTTATACACGTCGTAACCATCTAAATATTTAGAGCCTTCTAACTATGCTTTGTCCCTTTAGGTAAGGGTGAACGCTACGCTTACATGAGAAAAATTATTTTTCTCCGTATGAACTTTAGCAAGTAATCTCTGGTGTGCATATGCCTTATGTTTACGAGTAAAAATTGAGTTTCCTCGCATAGACATAAGGAAATGCATCCTCTCGTGTTGAAATTGGTCTGTTTAAGCCTATAATGGGCAAGGATTGATGGTTTGGTAGGCCCAAGGGGGCACCATCAAAGGATAATTCGAGGACCATTTTAGTAGTATTAAAACTCTACTAGTTTTGTACCGAAACTCTGCCTGTGGATATTCAAAAGTCACAAAGGGGAAAACTCACTCTAACATTTTCCTTAGATTTACTTTTTGAAAAAAAATTGAGAACTAGAAAAGTATGCAGTTAGGTTTTATATTTTCGTACAAAACATGTGAACTAGAAAAAAAATATGGTTATGATTTATTTTCTAAATAAAAAGCATGGGGTAGAAATCATATTTGGATAGGATTCACCATATCATGTTTAGGTAGATTGCATTTGGGTAGGATTTATTATCAATTTCCTTGTTATTCGGTTATTTATTTTATATACTGACACAGTTTTTTCATTTTTTTTCTGCTTTGTTGTATTGCATGATCATATCATTAAGAAAGGTGTTAGTTCACGAAGTGGTCATCAGATTAGAAAGCGATCATAAAATGGAAAAGAGTTTTCATAGCAAGGAAATAAAGAATGCAAAAGTGAGGCCATGGTCTAAAAAACACAGAGAAAGAAATGAGATAGTTTGACCAAGGAATACATATCACTTATACCAGAGGTCGCTCGAGTCAGCCTTAAGCAAAACGATCTACAAGGATTACGTGAGATCTGGGAGAGTTGGAGATCTAATATGAAACATGCATTCTGGAAAAAAGTATGGAGATATAGCTCTCTTGTCACATGCGAAGGTAAACGAGCCATTGATCAAAGCTTTAATCCAATTCTGGAATCCAACATATAGTTGTTTCACTTTTAACAAATAGGATATGATGCCCACTCTGTAAGAGTACACCGTCTTGTTTCATTTCAAAAAAATATACACTTAGATAGAACATATTCAAGGGCGACAAGAGTACAACCCTTAAAAAGCAAGCTCACAAATATTACTGGAATGGGGGAGAAATGGGTAACTGATCGCATTTAACAAAAAGGGGAGTTCGAATGTTTCCCTTGGCCATGTATTAAAGACAGATTGTCAAACAAAGTGATATCGAGAAAAGCATGGAAATGTTCGCTTTGGGAATTTATAGCTTAGTGATTTTCCTAAAAGTTCTTTGCCATATAGACTTGGTCGTGGTTGATCTATTTAAGCAGTTGGAAAAGAAAGTGAATCTTGCTCCTACAGTCTTAGCTGAAACCTTCAGGTCTCTTAACAGTTGTAGGAGAGTAGAGAGTAGTCGCTTCATTAGATGTGTTTAGCTTCTTACCATGTGGATTCGTAGCCACTTCTGGAAGATTAAATGAGAGTGTAGTCATCGATTTTTAAATGCTTACTCACCATTAAAAGATTTACTTACAAGGAGTGGCCGGAGCACCTGATAAGAAAAGATTGGGTTTCAATTTTTAGGAATTTACAAGATCAAGATATAGTGTGGCACATCCATTGGTAGCTTATGTTAATATACTATACAAATGTGGATATTCTGACTAGGTAACTTTGCTAGGTTATGGGGAGGAATATGTTATTCTCCACTGATGGTGCTAAGTTAATATGGGGCACGACAATTTGTACCAGCCACTTCTGGCTTGAGTAAGTCTGAATTTGTATATCATGGGGATCACTACAAGAAAATAGCTCGTTTAATGTCAGATGCTTGGAAGTTAACCTTTTGAACTGACGTGGTAGCAGTCGATGTCATGTTAACACCAAACTGCGTGGTTTAGAGGGATGTAAGGAAGAATGATATTGTTCCCTTACCTGACTGAGATCGAGTTATCCCTTTAGAGGAATAATTCAGATATGTTCCATATGAGGTGGAGATACTTAAGAGTGGATTTGAAGCCGAAATTGCCAAGAAAGAATGAGAGTGTAAAAACCTTAGGCGAGAAAATTTTATGCTGGACCTCGATGTTGGGTTTCATAGAAAATAGTTTGAGCTTGAAAGATTATTGAAAGATTAATCGAGCTTAGGAAATTACAAGACTGGGAAAAACTTCATAACAATGGAAGTTTGAAATTAAGGTTGAAAAGGGCATCAAATTAAAGATATCAAAGCTGAAAGAGAGCACAGGGTCAATGAACTAGAGGCAGAGAAAAAGAGAAGAGATCAGGAATTCGAAACAGAGAAGAAGTCTTAGGCTCGTGTATTGAATGTGGAAATAGAAAAAACCAAAGAATTGAGGAAATTGTACACCCTGAGTAAGAAACGAGAAGAATAACTCACTTTTGAAGTACAGGGGTTGCAAGCTAAGATCGAGGAGCTTAAAGCTGAAATCAGGGTAGATTAAGTGAGTTAGAGAAGGAAAAGCGAAGAGTTGAAAAGTTATAAGTTTGAGAAGGGCAATATGTTTGAAGGGTTCAGAATTAAGATGAAAAACATTCTAGGTGAGCTCAAAACTAGAGAACAAAGAATCGGTGAACCTGAAGCTGAAAAGAGGCAAAACTATAGTGAGTTGAAGTTAGAAAATGAGTGTCGATATCATGTGCTTCAAATTAAGCATGACGAATTCTTTCTCAGTATACAAAAATGTAGCGCAAAGAATGAATGAATAGGGGTCCTTAGTCGATTAAAGAAAGAGATGGAGGCAAGGCGTGAAGAG